AAGCTAATTAATACAGATAATTTATTTAAAGCTACTAAATCTAGATGGAACATCGTAGAATGTTAACTCTAAATCCACAAAGTTAAAATTCTAAAAAATTAGAATTCTAGTTTTTTAGGTTGCGTATTCTAAATAATTACGTAAGTTATACATATCAAATAAATATTACTAAGATAAATATAAAATTTAAACTAAAGTTACAGAATTCATTCAAATATATAACTCGTACTATAGTTCAACACCTCCATCATCAAGGGTGAGGTGACAAGGATGTATTAATTCCTTTTACCAAATTACCTCTAACCCTACGATCCCCATGAAAGAAGAAATTTGTGGTAAGGAGCTAGCGTTTCCTTTTAATCGATACCCTGCATTATATGAATGTGAATAAAGTTGAGTAAATAACTTGGGATACCAAATAATTATAGAAATAATATTATCAACCAAGAAAGAGAACAAAATGTATATACTTTAACAACTTTTAATTCTTTTCCCCATTTCTTGCAAAGTTTCTCAATTTAATTAGAAGAAATAATGGGACTTTTCCATTCGTAAGTTAGAATATTAGTTGAGCTTTAACTATCTCTTTTATATATATAGTGAAAAGCCTTTTTTATATAATAAAAACTATAGTCTTGTTTTCTATTTTTTGCACACGAATCAAGCATTAAATAACCATATTGTATATTTGACACGTTTTATTTGCATAAGTACAATAATAACACGAGGATTAAACTAACATTATCATAAAAATGGAGTGTTTTTGAGTTTATGATAATTTTTATTCACACTACAAGTAAAGCAAGAAAGTGAAGGGGACACTTTGGACCTATTTAACCATAAAAATTATTCACTTTTGTTTCGAGATAATTTTTCATGACTTAATTTGAATAACTCTGATTTGAATTAACTTTAAAATGTATTCAAATACATAGATAATTGTATAGAATGACAAACTAATAATATAAAATAAATATAGTAGCTATCATTTGATTTATTTGTATTTCAGAAGAAGCTGTTTGCCGGTCTCTCTCTCCCTCATATTCTTGCTCACCACTCTCCCTCTCTCGCTTGCTTCCTGTCGCTCGCCTCTCTCGCTTTATACAATAGAATTATATAAATTGTTTTGTAATTGTATAAAGCGAGAGAAAATTGTATAAACGCATGCAAATACATATATCTTCGTCCTATACACTTAAAATTATACTATACAAATATTTCTCTGCCCAAATCTCTTTTGCCTTTCTCGTTTTATACAAATTCAAATTGTATATAATTCCTCTCTTTCTCGTTTTATACAATTCGATTCAATTGTTTATTTCATGCACAAGTCTCTTTTTGCCGTTCTCTCTTTCTCATTTTATACAAATTCAAATTGTATATAATTTCTCTCTTTCTCGTTTTATACAATTCAATTCTGTGTTTCTCGCTTTCTAGTTTTATACAATTCAAATTGTATATAATTTGTCTTTCTCATTTTATACAATTCGCTTCAATTATATATGTATAGCGAACTATACATATATAAGTTTGTTATTGAGCGCAATTATGCAAACTTTACTATGGTATACAAGTATGAATTTTATGTTTGTTATATGGGAAAATTGCCCTTAAATATATTCAAACATGAATATTATTCAAAAATCCAAATAATTCCAAACTCTGTAAATTAAAAATAAAGTGAAAATTATTTGAAACCTCTAGCAAAACGCCTCATTTGCATGATCGAAGTTCAAAAAATAGACTTGATTGAATATCAAAATCTAAAAACATCACATAAAATAGAACGAAATGAATATATGTATATAAAAGTAAATGTACTTTAGCTACCATATGGGATTTCCATGACCCATTGCTACAAACAAAAAATATCATAAAAGTCCGAAAAAAGCAATAAACTTCATGTTGTACGTTAATTAATCAAAATTACCATAAATATAGATAATCCAGAAAATAATGAAGCTATTTCCAATTGTGACTATACCAAAAGCAATTAATCCAACTCTTTGTAATCTAAAATTTAGTATTGATAAATCACAATTAACCACTTAATGGAGTTCTTATAGTTACGTAGAAGAAAAATAAAGCGATCTTGAAAGTTTGAAAGAGGAAGTCTAGTCTTTTTTCTTAAAACAAACAAACAATATAATAGAATATATTTAAAAAGTTGAATGCATAATTAAATCAATGAAAATACAATATATCTATGAATTTAATTTTGACACTAAGTTATTAGACACAATTGAAGTTACGGATCGGATATAACTCAATAATTTTAAAATCTGATTTATGTTGAGTATATAAGTAGTTTATTTAGATGAATATAAATTCATAAGCTTTAAAAGATATTAGTTACGTAATAAAATATTATTCGTTTTGAGCTAAATTTTCATTAAAAATATATAATATTGCCTTTTAATTACGATAAGTTTCATCTACTAATATGAAATTTTGCTTACACATATTCACCAATTTCCTAGTTTTAACTAGAGAAATTGATGTAATCACCTTCATTTGATTTAAAGATTAAATACGCGTCATCTACGTCAATCATGTATTTGTGACCAAGGATCCAAAACTCACCAACTTCGTTTTTTATGTGCATGTATGATAGTAGAGTAAGTTAAATGCATCTAGTTCAGTTGTATGTCATTAATTTTATTATTTTCATTAAACGATGACTCTGATATTACATGTGAAAATAATCTAAAAAATTTTTAACATGTCTAAATTATTTATTTTTTAAAAAAAAATTCTATTAAAATCATTACTTACATAATTTTAAATTTAATCTGATTCGAATATAAATATGGTAGAAAATTAAGGGGGAAAAAGGGGACAAGTCCAAACAAATGGTAATTAGGATAAGCATTGGTATAATAAAAACAAAAATATAAATGACTCAAACTAAATAAATAGGGCCGCCCACAGAGGGAAATTAAAAACCGGGTTGATTCCTAATCCCGGTTTAACAAATCAGCGGTTTTTAAATAATAGCCGGTTTTATGGGAACAAAGTTCCTTTAAACCGGGAGAATTAGGTGGGCCCAAGACCATGAGGGGTGGGGTGGTGTTTTACGTGACATTATGTGGCGAATCGCACGATGTTCCTTTATTCTTCACGTGGTTTCCACGCGCACCCTCTTTTTTCGAAATGGAATCTTTTTTTTTTTGCAACGTATCGACACGTCATTAACGAGTCAGAGTAAGGTAGAATCGAGGGATTCATCTGAATCTTTTTTTCCGAAGAGGACATAGTACATGACATTGAGCTTTCATCAACTTTTTCGCGTGTTTCTTCTCATCTAAGTGAATTTATTTTTTATTTTCTCGATCTATTTAATGAGATATCTATTGGCTCTAGTTGAATATAAGTATCATATAATTTTAAAATGTTATAATTTTTAACTTTTTTATTGATTACTAGGTTATTATATTGACGAAATAACTATAATCTATATTTATTATTTTAATATATATACAATGAGTTCAATATTATATAAAATTTAAATTTTGGATATGTGGCGACTTCATCACTAGCCCAAACCCTTCCGTTGAGGTTCATGACGTGTGTCGATAATTTTTTTTTTTTACTTCAAAATGCTAACACATCCACAAAATTTTCAAACCTTTTTTAAAAAGATAATTAAAGTCAAATAATATTTTAATGTGAATTTTTTTTAAAAAAATTGTTAGAACCAGTCTGTTTTTCACCTTTGACTGAATAGTTTCTTTATTGTTTTTATTATATATATAAATTTTAAATAGTTTATAAAAAAATGGATCGTGTGGAATATCTTAGACTTTGCTTTCTTCAAAAAAAGATTTTGACACACTTTTATATATCTTTTTTGATGATGACATGGTTTTTTTAAAAGGCAATTTCATCTTAATATTTGAGAATATATGGGTTCGTGCCTGATTAACATAAAGGTATCAAATATAGGAATTAAAATAAATTTAAACAGATTAAATTGGACTGAATTATAAATAAGGCAATTTGGACTCGCAAAATTTATACTTACTCACAAATTATTAATTTTAAAATAATTTTATTCGCTTTGGCCTATAATCAATGATTATGCTATCTTAAATTATCTAATTATTATTAAAAGAAAATAACATGTCACTTTTTAAAATGTCTTCTAGATACCCAAAGTCTTAATTAGACGTGGAACCAATTTATTTTGTATTTTATAATAAGCTAATTAATCGAATCTATAATTATATTATATATATACATTATTTAATCTAAAGATAAATTGGATTAAAGTTTCTCATCAATACAAGTTTTTATAATTACCAAAAATAAAAATCAATAAATACATGATACTTATTTCAAAAGTTTTATAACAATATAAACTAAATAAAATTATTTTAATATTTCGTGATTGATGATTCGTCAAAATACAGATAAATCTCATTATTCTTTGAAAATAAAATTTGAGTATAATAATCGAATATTCGCGATATAATTTCACGAGTGAAATTAAAAATGATAAATTTTATTATTCTCTCTGTTTCAATTTATAGACACTTTTCATTTTTCGAGAGTCAAACAGTTTAAAATTGATAAAAAGTTTACGCATGAAATCTTTAACTTTTTTGAAATAAAACGTAAAAAATACAACAAATCACAATAATTCAAAATTCAAATAACTAAAAGATTTATAAAAAATTAAAATACAAATAAATTTATTTAAAATGTAAAATCTGAAAAGCATCACGTAAAATTACCGTGTACCCAATTATTCTTTTTCACATAAAAGGCACACTAGGTGAAACCCATAAAGAAGCCCAAATATTGGGAGAACTTTTATTATAATTTAATTTAAAAAAAATAACAAAATAAAAAACTAAAAGAAACAATTTCTGTTTTTCAGGTATTACTTGATCACCCAAACATGACATAAAGCCCCCACCCATACCCACGCCACCCCACCCCACCTTTTTCTTCTTTTCTCCTTTGATAAATACCCCTTTTCTCCATTTCTCCGCCTTCACTATAAACATTTTTTCTCATCATTTTTCTTTTTCTCTCTAAAAGAAAAAAAAAAGCCATGAGAATGAGCTGCAATGGTTGTCGAGTTCTTCGAAAAGGTTGCAGTGAAAATTGCAGTTTAAGACCCTCTCTTCAATGGATCAAATCACCTGATTCACAAGCCAACGCTACTGTCTTCCTAGCAAAATTTTACGGCCGTGCTGGACTCATCAATCTCATCAATGCTGGACCCCAACATCTCCGCCCTGGTACATCTTCTTTTTTGTAAAAAATTCGATACTCTATCCACATAGCTATTAAAATTATTGAACCTCTATGCTATTTTTTTTTTCTTTTATAGATCAAAAGAGAGAAACAAAATTAATTTTTTTAATTACCTTCATATTACTTGAAGAATTGAATCAATTTTTCTAGTACCACAACTTTTATTTATTAATTATTGTGATTTAATTTTAAATATATTAACAACTGTATACAAAAATTAGATCGTTAAAAAAATGGCACAAGGTATCTTTTAATTGGATTTACTCAGTTCATTCAAATCCAATAACTTTTAGCTCGAATTCTTTATATGAATATATTTTTTTTTTGTAAGTTTCTAAATTTAAATCTTGAATTTGTGTCGAATAGATATGCATGCAAATTTTTAAAAAAAACTAACATAGTTTTTTTTTGGCCATTTTCTCAGCAATTTTTAGGTCTTTATTGTACGAGGCTTGTGGCCGGATAATTAATCCGGTAAACGGATCAGTCGGGTTAATGTGTTCCGGCAATTGGCAGCGTTGTCAGGACGCTGTCGAATCGGTACTCAAAGGATCAACAATCATGCAAGTACCGATTAATAGTGATGATGATAATAACAGTACTGATCAAATTGTACCGTTAAAAGGATGTGACATACGACATGTTTCAAAGTATAACTCAACAAACTCAGATAACCAACAAGTCAAAACTAGGAATGGCAGGCTTAAGCGTAAGGGTAGTACTTTTGATTCTGCAGCTTCAGCTTCCGTGGAAGTTGAAGCAGCAGAAGAGTACTTGTTGAAGAATCAACCCCCGTTAAAGTTCAGTATAACGGGATGGGATCAATTTGAAGAGAGAGAAGATGAGATGATCAAACGCTCACAAAGTCATGACTCGTTTTCAGTTGAAACGGTTGAACCGACCCTTTTGGTGAACCGGGTCGACCCGGTGAAATTGGAGGAAGATGGTGATCTCCTAGGATTAGACCTTACTCTTGGGTTGATGAGTCCAACAGGCTGATGACTCCCGAGAGCTCTTATTGACGGAATCATTGGAGACCTCGATGTCAATTCATCACAACATTTTGGGCTTTTTTTAGTAAAGGGAAAAATAGTTTCCTTTTCTTAATGGTAATCTTTTTTTGTTTGTTTTTGTTTTTGTTTTCTCTAAGTTTTTGGTTTATTTTATTTTGGAGGCATATATATTATACAAATAGATAAGAGGTAAGAAGTGTAATTATGTAGAGTTGTTGGTGATCGATCAATGTACGAAATGAAATTGTCACAATTAGTGACAAAGTGATCATTAATAATAATATAGTATCTAATTAACAATGACTAGTTGCAATAAATTGTGTATTTTTAAAGATTTTGCACTTATTATTATCCTTATGTTATGTACTTGCTACTTTGTATTGCTTGGTACAAAGGAAGGGTCGATAACTTTTAATTTTAATTCTTATCGAAACTTTAAAATCACAATTCTAATGAGGCATCGATACAAAGCTATTATTTTAATTTGTATTTGATACAAAGCGTGGATCATCCAAGGCACATTAGCATGGCGTACTCCTCCTGTTCGAACCGATTGTCTTTGCTTGGTTATCTTAGTAGGAAATTGAAACAATCTATAACAAAATTACAATTAACCTTGGAATTTACTCGATGAGTTTAATCGCTTGTAATATTTTTGATTCATTAAATTGAATATTTTAATTTTACCTTTGTTTTCGTCTTAATATAATTAATTAGATCTATATTTTTCTTAGATTTTGATTGGCCAAAAGAATGAAGAACACGTGGATGCATGGAGGAAATTTTGTCAACAAATGCTATGCATGCAATGGGTAAGTAAAGTTTGGATTTTGCCAAGTTTTTGAGGAAACAAAAGTTTATGCTTACTTTTGCCTTATTTATGGATCATAGACATGAGGAATATGCTAGACTAGCTGTTGTGGACATTTTTCCCAAGAATTTAGGTGTTTCTACGCAATTAATAAAAATAATTTTAAAAATTTACGTGACATAATTTGAACGACGATCAAAATAACAATAATAATAATGACTTGGATATATGTATTTGTTGTAGATATGTTATAACATTTGTATAGTTATAAAAAAATTTCTTATTAGGAGTAAAATGCAAGATAAAAAGTTCTGTTAATTGTCTTCTTTTGGTAATCAAGGTTGATTCAGAATTGAATTTTATGTTTTCTGAATTCCATAATAACCTTTTTTAAGTGTTTAAAGGACAAATTTATAGAATTCGAGCTGTAAATTGTCCTCTAATTCTTTTAACACGTGAATTGAAATAAAAAGAGAAGTGTATCTCATATATTAATTGGAATAGATATAGAGAGATGACTAGTAATAAATCGAAAAATTCTCATAAAATCCCCCAATTGTAATGCAAGTTTAAAATACTTTTATCAAATTAATTAAATAAAAATATAGAAGGGAAGATAAACAAAAATTAAAAATGGTGCGTGTGGTATGGTGTAAGGGGAAAAAGTTGACTAATTATAATATTAACATGTAACATATCCAATTATATTGCTAATTAATAGCTTACATCACATACAACCAAACCTTATAATATTTGTTCTCTATTATTATATTATTTCTATTATATATTAGCTTAAAGTTTTAATTGGTACCTTATGTACTAACCAACAATTTGTGAATGTTTTCAACTCAAATGATATTTGGAGGCTTCTCAATTAAGAAAGAGTATAAAAACAATGGCATTATGGATTGCTGACTTGTTGCCAAGCCTTGTTGGTTTGTCACATATAACATATATATTCCAAATCCAACTTGAAATTAAAAAAATCTACAATATCATATAATATTCTTGCAATCACTAAAGGTATATATATTTGGTATAGAGAAAAATATTTTCTCCAAAAATATCAAAATTTGTATATTCTATTAGTTAAGATATATTGAAAAATATTTTTGTAAAGAAAATAAATATTCTAATAAAATAATTGTGTTAGCTTGTAGAAAAAGAAAAAACAAGTTCGATAAGTTACAATCAAGCTGATCATTGTCTCCTCTCTATCCCCAAAACCCAATCTCCCTCTACCCTATAACCCCAATTTCCACCACACCCCACTCACGATATTTATCTAAATTATATAAAAATATATGACCTGTTTGTCTAATATTTATAGTATATCCATAATTTTAAATAACTTTTTTATGTATTTATATTGTAAGTGTGGATGAGTTTCTTTATATCCTTTGTCTTTTTTATTTCTCTATATTTTAATTCTGTTACCAAAAATTCTGATTAATTATACTATTACATCTGTTGCAAATTTTTTCTTTATGCTTATGTAACACTAGAATATAAGCAAAAAAATTCTTAATTTCCATAAAAAAAAATAAAAGTGTCTTCCTTTCATACCAAACGCACCCTAAGTCTTTAATTTAAAATATATTTTCAAGTAAAGATTAGTGCTTTCATCTTCTAACCTCCAACAACAATTTGCAGTTTTTATGGTTGAAAAAAAATAATCATGTGCCAGGCATAAGCTTTTTTAAAAAATTATATAAATTATAAGATGACAGCATGAGTGACGAAAATTGGCATGGAAGTGGTTTATTAATATTAAGTAATAATTAATAATGTAATAATTAATTGTTAATTAAAGAGTTTGATTATTTTTTATGAACAAGCTGAAGTCAAGAGAGTATCTAGATTCATTGTGTTCAAGTTTCCATTATACAAACATGTGGAGCCATGATTTGGTAATCCAATTATATTATTTAATATAAAAAATTTCTTAATATTTTTTTAAAAATTTGCTTTGGCAGGTCGCCTCATAGATATATATTAATTAATAAAAGAATCACTAATATCACTATCTTGATGTTAGCTAGTTTTTGGACATAATCAACTTTACATAATTATTCTTTTTTTTTATAGAAAAATTACCCATAGTCAAAACTACGAAGAAATAACAATATAATATAGATTTTAACGAATGATTGAGATTATTTCATTGTTAGTCGAAAATTTCGAATTTAAATTTTTGAAAATAATTTTTTTTCTATTAGAGCGCTGACCCTAGAATAATACTTTGGACAACAATACTCCTTAAAGGAGGAGTGATATATAGCAAAAGAATCTTGAGGCTGTGATGTGACTTTAATTATGCAAAAATTATTTCTTATGAATTTTTATAATTATTATGATATTTGCTAATCGATTTAATCGTAAATATGTTTTTGAGCATATATATCATATAGACTTGTGGTAAGTTTATTTATCTAAAATGTCATATACATTTTTTTATAATAAATCTATTACTCTAACTTTTACTTGCTTTTCCTCCTTCATAGGTAATATAGTTCAAGCTTTATTTAAATAGATTTTTATAAAAATTAAAAGGTATTTTACTCCATTGATGAATCTATACATCCAAATAAAATCGATTCAATTAGTAAAATCATTATATTTCGAATATCAGAGATAGTGTTATATTATTTGTTGTATCTAATTACAAAAACACATTAGCTCTAGCACTAAAATACATCATGGAGGGTTAATATACTTTAATCAATATTATAGTCAATATATAGAGAGTTATGCGTGGGCTGTTTTTCACATAAATGGTAGAACATTAACAAAACACACATAAAATAGCATCATATAAATTAGGAAATAATTTTTTATATACAAAAATGAAAGTAATATACAGTTTTATTACAATTTTATGATAAATCTAGAATGGAGACCCTATAATTAAAAGTTAGATAAAAAAAAAATCAAACCCCGATAACTGAAAATTTAATAAAATGAAGAAATGACCTATGTAATTTGACTTGGTCTGATCATTCCACTTAACAAAATTTTTTTTTTTATCAGCGGTAATAAATATTGACATTAATAAAGAATTTTAAAGTTTTTATTAACACTAGTTAAGCGTCGTTGGAACCAATTACGCTAAAAATTTTACGGACATATATAAAAAGTATTAAATACTACTGAAAATACATTTAACGATAATTAATTCTTAATTATCGTTAATAATATTTTTAATGTAGTGCCTGTTGGTATTTACTCTCACTCAAGTTTATCATCTATCTTATTATTGGATCACAACATATAGGGATAACTCAAGTACACACTTATACTATACGAAGGTCCTATTACCCATCTGAACTTATTTTATTAATAATTTTTTACCCCTTTTAGCCTACGTGACACTATCTTGTGGGCCCAACGATGATTGACTTTTTTTTTTCAAACTAGTGTCACGTAAGCTAAAAAAGGATAGAAAATTACTTATAAAATAAGTTCAGAGGTAATAGGACCTTAGTATAGTATAAGTGTGTCTCTGGGATTCCGGGCATAGATCGATGGGTACTTGTGCATTTTTCCCAACTTATATTCAAATCATCCAATTTGCTTGGCTTAACTAATTATTTAATCATTAGTATGTTTATTAAAAAAGATAATACTCTTATTATAAGGTCAACTAACAAAGAGTTTTCTCTTCTTCTTTTTTCCCTTTAATTTAAAAATCTGTCGAAGTCATCAGACATGGATTCCATTTTTTTTGAGGGTATATACTTGAATCTGCCTAATAGTCCACCATAGATTATATTAATAAAAAATATAACAAGAAAACTTTTACTTTTCTTCCTATTTATTATATATTTATTTCACCAATATTAAAAAAATGCAAGTTGTAATTCCTTAAATAAAATATTACGTGTTAAAAGAATTATTTAATTCCATTTGTTGAATATGACGTGCAAACCGTGATTCCCGACTTGTAAATTCAACTTTCCTCAAAGAAAGAGTTAAATTAATTGATTAATAAACATTTTTATCCTTTAATTTGGTCCTTTAGTAATTGAAAAATAATAATCTTATTTTAGTCTCTAAGCACATTAAACCTTCCGTGAATTGAATTTGTACATTTTAAATCACGTTACTCGTACATATTCACAAAGAGAAAAAGTATCATAATTATTCGTTGTTTCACTATTTTGTTATTTATGTGTTTTTACTTTATACAACTACTGCATATTTAACGTTAATATAGTTCTATATATAAATAATCAAATATAACTTATTTTCTATATGAAGTAACCGAAAACACATATTTTGATTAATTAAAAGTGAAATTGTTGAGTTGTACATCACAAGGATTAAAAGAAGAATTTATCAATAGTTTAGGGATTAAAAGTGCTATTATCACTATTTTTTCAATATTAATTAAGAGGTACGTTGCACTAAGACAACTATTAATCACTAAATTAAAAAATGAGGTGAAGTTGTTTAGTGGATAATAGGAAACGTAAAGTATCTTGATTAGGCTTTTGAATTAAACTA